TTACTTTAATGTGTTAGCATGCTAACATTTGCAAATTAGCAATATACCCCTGAAGAATATTGACCTGAAGATAGCGCTACATGTAAGGTCACAGGATCTAAGTTTTTACAGAGCATCCTCAGGGAACTGTGAATATTTGTACCACATTTCATGGCAATGCATTTGAAAGTTGTTGAGATATTTCCACCTGAATATCTCAATAAAAAGATAACATTTCAATTTCATGGTGGCACTAGTGGAAGAGTAGGGTTATCAAAGTCAGTAGGGCTCATCATCTGGGTACCATGAATGTCTCTGCAATATTTTATGCCAAAATATCCAGTAGATATTTCCCAAAATGACTGAAGAGTTTTACCCGGTGATGGTGCTGGAGGAAAAATCAGAGTCACTGTGATGCATTTTGAATGTTAAAGTAAAACGTGCAAGACGAAAACATCATTATGTCAGTGGCATTAGGATCTAGCCAGTGCAGAGACGCAGACACTAATTTTGTTTGATTTTGTCTCATAAACAGCTCGTTATTTCAGAACATCTGTACACTCGTGTTTGTTTTTCAGATCTCTCTGTTACTCTCCTGGGCTCTTCTCCTCGGAGACGCTGAGGTTTGCTGCTCTGTTGTTGTGGTCATGGTGAGTTGTTGCTGGTTGACAGTGCGAGGCTGAGTAGCTACTGAGAACTGGGTCAGTTTGTGCAGCTGTCTGCACAGCAGCCTCTCTCTGCCTGCGTCTTGTCTCCCAGCGAATCGAAAAATTGTTCCAGATTTCAACCAGATCCTTCAGATACGGGACCTGTAAACAGAGTGTTTTCCCGGCCTGTCAAAAAATTGTAGGACTTATCCACCCTGAGGCTTAGTAGATGAGACACAGTCTCTGGAGATTTTACTGCAGTTTGTGTGTGTGATCATGTGTGGAAAATATGTGAGTATTGTGCGTGTGTGCGGAGAATTTGTCTGCCGTCATTTAAATTTAGCTTAAATCCGGTTTCATCCTGTTTGATCCCATTGATGCCAACGCATTGAAACAGTCAGATATGATTAGACATTCAAGAAGCTGTTTTCAAAATCCAACTTACTAGAAAGAGACTTGAGGCAAAGCCCACAGCTGAGAGAGGCTGTGGCGACTTTTGGCTCTTTTGACTGTGTCCTCTGAGCACTGCCCATTAAGCACAAACCAACCCATATATTATTAATCTGTTTGGCTCTGCCGTCCTCACTGCCAGCATCAGACTGCATTTTTACATGATGCTCCCTGGTGGTGATGAGATATTCTCTCTTATTGCCACATCTGAAAAACAAACAACCAAGCAAATAGTAAAGAGTTTAATATCAGGGGCTAACGCCTGGTCTTAAGCTAAGTCATAGTAACTTGACGAGTCCCACCTAATAGTAACGCTGGTTGCACCATCAAGGCTTAAGCTCTCTTATCACTAAAACCAGGCATAAATGTTACAACTAGTCAAGAGCAGGCGTAAAGTAAAAATCTTGATCGTTTCTATATATCGGCAGCCTGATATAAAAACGAAATCCACAAACCTTGAACAACAACCCACATTAGTGTTTCTGCTGAAGTCTCCTTTTATCTAGCTAACTTACAAACAACTGTATGCATCTAACGATCAGACACTGTACATTTACAGGATAGTCTGGGGGACTCAGTTCGATTGGGCGTGGAATGCTGAAAAATTTCACACCTTCATTTGGTTCGGTTCACTTTCAGAATGCACTTTTTAAAGCAGACCAAACCGCCTGGACAACGTCACACAGTTACAACAGCTGCTCGTTTGGGGGGCAGTGTTGCCCGACCAGGAAGAAAAAATGCATCCTCTCTTTGGTTCACTTCCTCTCTTTGGTTCGCTGGATAGTCTGTTTGCATTTCCCACTGTTGGAACCCTGGTCCACTTGGAAACTGGGGGTCTCGGTTCACTTGCAAGTGAACCGAGACCCCCACTTGCAAGTGAACCGAGACCCCCAGTTTTCAAGTGGACCAGGGTTCGCTCGTTTGGTCCGCACTGGAGTTCGAATGAGCGTTCACACCACTCCGAATGAATCGAACGATCTGTGGAAGCGGACCAGGTTTTTTTTAAAGCGGACCAAATAGCGCCAGTGTGAATGCGTCCTAACAGGCATAAATTGACATGCTGTCCCAGAATGTCAACAAAAAATACAGGAGGATACCTAGCACATAATATGTAGATGTGAATGGCACTGATAAAGTAGTGATATGTTTGACAAGTTGGACTGAGAACACATTGTACTAACACAACGTGTGCATTCGCAGTGTGTTTAAGAGGCAAAGAAGAAAAAGTCTCAGAGGACACGCCTAGACACGCTTAGAGGTAGTATCACATTCTGATACATATTTCCTACCTGACAGAATGAGCCACTCTACTTTAACTATTTTTATAGAGGCAGTGGTCGACTCTGATGGATCTGTTGCTAATGGTAGGTTGTTCTGAGCAGGTGGTGAACACCAGGTGTAATTAAGGCTAAGCTCAAGTTTGGTTGTGCAACAAACCTAAAGTTTATTCTGAAGCCTGGTCTGACTGCAGTGAAGACCGACTTAGCAGTTAGGACCAGGCCAGTTGGTGCAGCCCACTCTGGGGTTTCAAATTAGCATTTCTAGCAAAAACTTTCCTGCTTCCACACACTCAAGTTTTCCCTTAAGTATAAAACTATTACCATTTACTGCAAACGAGATGGACACTGAGTTGTGTTCCAGATCGAATGCCAGGTGCTCTTTGACTGTCTCTGAGTTGAAAACAGTGTGTGGGAGAGATGACAGGTTGCCTGAAGGAATGTTAAAGCACAAGTGATTCATCTTGTCTCTGCGCGAGGAGGACCAAAACGATTTTTAATTCATACCCAGCAAAATGCCACGTCCTACGCATACATGCATCAGCACATACCTGATCAAACACGTAATATGACTTGAGTACACAGTGATTCAATCACTCATTTCTCTTCACATTTCATAGCCGTGGTGTGCGTGGCTCCCAGGCATAATGTGATTGTTGAGGAGCTCAGTCTGTGTATATCTGTGGTGATAATAAATTCATTGTGTTTGTCAAAATGGAGCAGACGGTCTCACGGAGCTGAGGAGGTGCAACGTGCATGAATTCATCTGAAGCAAGAAGCTCCCTCGCATGGCTCCCAGTGTCCCAGTTCTCCAGCTGAAACCAAAGATGAATTAGTGAAAAGACAAATTATCTTTAATATCTTACAAAGATCCGTGTTCCTGTAATGGGGTCTCATCAGATGTATCTTAATGCTGTGTCATGATACGTCTCAAATCTCCGCAGCTTTCGGTACAATATTACTTAAAAACTGCAGGGAACATAGATAATTTACAGCCCTGTGGATGTAATTTTTATGAGCTTGGGAGATGATCTGTGATAAGCTCCATCTTTCTTTTTCATGGCCTCATTATCTTCTGTAGTATCATGTCTTTATCTGTGGGGGAGGAAGTACTCAGATGTTTTTACTTGAGTTAAAGTAATAATACAACAGTAGAAATACCCTGTTACAAGTAAAATCCTGCATTCAACAGTTAATTTAATATACTTATAGTACCAAAAGTAAAAGTACATATTATGCAGAATGGCCCCGTTCAGACTGATATTAATTATTGGACTTTGTTGTTATTATTGATGCGTTAATTTGCTCATCACTTTAATGTTGCAGCTGGTGAAGGTGGAGCTCATTTTAATTACTTTATGTATGGTTCAGCCAGCTCTCATTCCTAGGCCATCGGATATTGATGCTTTGTCACGTACCTTGACGTGGGATACTGATGCTGAGGGCACCCTTTGGAGTCTCTTTTCTACCAACGTGGAGCCGGTCCCATTCTGGTTCCTTTTCGACCAAAAAGAAATTGATTTAGAGCCAGAAAAGTTAGTTCTCAGCTGGAACCAAACAAAGCAGGTTTTCCTTGACCTGGAGTCTGAACCGTGACAACATCAGTGGGTGTGTCATGTTTTACTGGTTGGAAAGAGAAGATGGAGAAGGCAAAAAAGAGGCTGCAGCGGTCTCATTAATAGTTGGTCCATGCTTGTTTTTTGAGGTAAAACAAATATCTGTAATAACAGAACAAACGTTTGCAATGCAGTCTGCCATTTTTGGTACTACTGTTTACTCCTGTTGTGCAACGCCCTCCGTTGATGACACATCCTTGATTACAATGGTTCGGATTGAATTTGGTTGAACGCGTGCTGGTTCACTAGGTCCCAAGAATCCTGAACGGAACTGGTTCAAGAACCAGAGTGAATTTGGTGGAAAATAGGGATATGAGACGCTAAATGCTTTCAACTAACTCCAGTGTTAACCCATGACGCTCAGACCAACTGACCGAGAGAGTCCACATAGGGCAGGAGGGAGGTTGGCGTAGGAGACAGGACAAACAAACACAGACTTTCACACAAGACACTGCTGTTTGTGTCCCATGTGAAACAAAAAGTCAGTGCCGTTTTGACGTAACATTATGTAACTTACATCCATCCATACATGTTTACGTCATGTAACATACATATAAGATCGACTTTCAGCCAGCAGACAGCTGTTGGTCACATACAGACGTTAACGGGTACGTATCATAAAGATGCCAAAGGGTGCCTTCAGCGTCTCTGAATGCTTTCTCGCTGAAGACACGAGAAAGTGCCAGTATTTGATGACCTGAGATGAAAACATGTTGGCTAGGTAGTTTAATCTATATTCATACATCATCATTCATTGGTTGATTATATTTTGTGTTATTAATCTGAATCTGGAAACTAAAGCTGTCAAACAAATGTAGTGGAGTGAAGAGTACAATATTCCCCTTATATAGTAGAGTAGAAGTATGAAGTCGCAGAAAATTACAATACAAATGTGAAGTACAAGTACCTCAAATGTGTACTTAAGCTCAGAACATGAGTGAATTTTACATTTCATCACTGGCCTCTATTTATTCTTCATTTTTTCTCTTCCTCCCTCTTTCTTTGCTTCTACCCTCTGTCTCGTCTTGCAGGTGCATGGTGCACTGACCCTGCCTGCGACAGGCGAGGAGTCAGAGGACCAGGGCCATGATTGGCTCTCCTGGCCCTGGTGGGCGTGCCTTAGTGCCATGGCCGAGGGTGTGGCAGTGGGTCCTGGCTGCTTCTCTGGTTGCCGTAATAACCGTGACGCTGCCAGGAAGTAGCCAGGCCTGCCCGCCACGGTGCGAGTGCTCGGCTCAGCTGAGGTCAGTGTCGTGCCAGCGGCGGCGGCTCACAAACATCCCAGAGGGCATCCCCACCGAGACACAGCTTCTGGACCTCAGCAAGAACCGGCTCCGCTGGGTGCAGTCAGGCGACCTGGCACCGTACCCGCGACTGGAGGAAGTGGACCTCAGTGAGAACCTCATCGCCACATTAGAGCCCAATGCCTTCGCCACCCTCCAGAGTCTTAAAGTGCTGAAGTTAAGGGGGAACCAGCTGAAGCTAGTGCCCATGGGGGCTTTTGCCAAGCTGGGCAATCTGACCAGTCTGGACCTGAGTGAGAACAAGATGGTGATTTTATTGGACTACACCTTCCAGGATCTGAGGAGTCTGAAACATTTGGAGGTGGGAGACAATGACCTGGTTTATATCTCCCACAAGGTAAGCTCTCCTGCATCTCATTACTGTGTAACTGAACTGGATGGAAAAACACTTAATTTAATTTTTTAAAATAAGAAAAAGGAAAAGGGACAGAAATTAGATCCCAGACAAATCACACTTTCATGATAGTAGTGGAATATACTGTGTGCTTCTGAATAAAGAGTAATGCCAAGCAGCTATTTGCCAGTCACACTGCCTGTAGCAATGCCTGCTTTGGCTATGAAATATGTAGTTCAGCATTTGGAGAAATGGTCTTGTTCACATTCTTGCCAAGTGTTAGATGAGAAAATTGATACCACTCTAAAGTCTGTATGCTAAATAAGAAGTTACAGCCAGCAGCTGGTTAGCTTAACTTAGCTTAGCAGTAAGTCTGGGAACAGAGGGAAATAATTAACATGTTTGATCTCATTTGTTTTATTTGAGCAAAAAATGGTTTTATGAGGGGTTGTGTGTGTGTTTATTGCTTGGGTGCAGTGACTTCCTGGAGTCTGCAGGTTGCTTGGCAACCTCATGGTGACAGCAACACTCCTGGCAGCAAATTTATTTTTTGCTAGGTTGTAGAAGGTATGACCCCCCTTACTCTGCCCTACTCTGCCTTTAATTGGCTTACTCTGACATTCATAAGCCCAGTTCAGACCGAAGATTCGCAATGAGACGAAACTGTTTTAGAAGGTTGCAAAGAAAGGTTGCAGCGGTGTGAACTGGCCGGTCTGAGCTCAACTGCCACTCAGCTGGTTAAATCACCGGTGGCTAGTTTAAGAACATAAAGCAAGTCACTTGTTTCAACAGCCAATCTGCTTGTAGTAAAGTCCAGTTGTCAAGTCAAAATGATCGCAAACGTGGTGGCAGGCGTGTTCGCTAATTGCAACAGGTGCTGTATGCCCTCCCCCCCACACACACATTCTCATTGACTGATTAACTGGCGCTGCTTACTTATATTACTGTGGCATATTTATCATGAATACAGTCCATCTGATGCTCGTTTTGTTTCTGTTTTTCGCCGTTTCATCACGACTACAAATGCACCTGTGGCCAGTATCTCACTGTCACTATCCTCATTCATATTTTAAGAAGGTACAAATTATATTCAGCCATAAATAAGCCTGGAAAAACTGGAAATCAAAACAGAGAGTTGTTGCATAGAGATGATACACCATCTCATCTAGTTGCATTGTTGTGAAGTGCAGAACGGCACATTGCAAATAGTTGCAAGTTTCAACTTGTCTTGTCTCAAATCTTTGGTCTGAATCAGCCTAGCCAGTCTCACTCCTCTTGCCTAAACTCAAACAACCCAGTCAAAAAAGGCAACAAGCACTGGCCAATCAGAAGGAGAGTAGGGCGGGTTATACTTTCACCATCCTAGGAAAAGACATTTATCTCCTATGAGGCAGATTTTGTCACCTTCTGACAGTCATGCTAACTGTTTCCCCTTGTCTCCAGTCTTAATGCTAAGCTGACTAACCGGCTGCTATCTGTAGCCTCATTTTTAACCATTGAACTGTCCCTTTAACGAAGGAAGGTGATGTTTATCATTAAAAAAAGAAAGCAAAACTGAAGCTTTAGCAATACATGAAATATTTTATAACTTGTGCTTGTATCATTATAATAGACCTTTCTGTTGTTGTCATCAGTTAAGTACACTCCATCTATCTTCTGTCTGTTTAAAGATATACTGTGCAGGATTTTCCTAAAAAAAAAAAAAAAAAAAAAAGAATACAGACTCATACAAAGGTCATCCTTCTCGATCATCATTTATGACCCACTATTAGTGTGTGGCGGTGTATTTTTCTGCAGAGACTGTGCCCTCTGTCTGTATTTTCTTATTTTCTTCTTATTTTTCTGTGCTCTGGATGTTTATGGACATGTACCCCGACAGCCCTTCGGTGAGGTTGGGTCCCAGTGAGGTCAGGACAGTTCATGAGCAGCAAGCATCACAAGAAACACAGCGCTGAATAAACTCAGATATACCCAGTGATAGCAATGTGGGCTGCCAAATAAACTGGCCAGATTCTGGGGTGCCATTCCCAAGTTTAAGCCGAGTCAGCAACCAGATGCAGCCCGACATATTTCTTCCAGTGTGCAGAGTGTGGGCTGATGCTGGGCCAGGTCATTTTTGTCAGCAGCTGGAATTGAGGCAGGTCATTTGGCCCAATTAATCTTGAATCTCACGGAGTCAGGTATTCGTACCTGGCCTGACTTATTTCGTCTGGCGTGCTGAGCTTGGGCCGATGCTGGTCCAGGTCATTTTGGCTACCTGGGTAGTGAGACAAAACCAAACAAGAGTGAGTCTTGGGTAGGCTTTCAATTTTGCTAGCGAGCGTGTTTACAAACAGTAACCGACCATCCTCCATAGTGCACCTTTAACATAAAACAGAACACTCACTGCTGACTATGACGCATATATGTAAAATAAATCTCATTTTAAGTTTTAAAACCCTTCATCTCCCTCATTCTCAGGCGTTCTCAGGGCTGCTGGGGCTGGAAGATCTCACAATAGAGCGCTGCAACCTGACATCCATCTCCGGCCAGACGCTGTCTTACCTGCGCAGCCTGGTCACCCTTCGCCTCCGTCACCTCAGCATCATCGCCCTGGAGGACCAGAACTTCCGCAAGCTCTCCAACCTGCGGGGTCTGGACATCGATCACTGGCCGTACCTTGAGTACATTTCCCCTCTAAGTTTCCAGGGCCTGGACCTCCACTGGCTCTCCATCACCAACACCAACATCACCTCCGTCCCCTCCGCTTCCTTCAAGAACCTGGTGCACCTCACCCACCTCAACCTGTCGTACAATCCCATCACCACACTAGAGCCCTGGGCCTTCAAAGACCTGCTGAGGCTGAAGGAGCTCATCATGGTAAGCACAGGGTTGACGACAGTGGAGCTCCACGCCCTCGGAGGCCTTCGACAGATCCGGGTCCTCAACTTTTCCTCCAACGACCTGCAGACTTTGGAAGAGGGCTCCTTCCACTCTGTCAACAGTCTGGAGACCCTCAGAGTGGATGGGAACCCCCTGATGTGTGACTGCCGTCTGTTGTGGATCCTGCAAAGACGCAAGACCCTCAACTTTGACGGCAGAGTGCCCGTGTGTGCGGGGCCGGTGGAAGTGCAAGGGGTCAGCCTCAGCACCTTCACCGATTCTGCACTCTTCGATCACTTTACATGCCAGAAACCTAAGATACGCAACCGTAAGCTGCAGCAGGTAATGATGATGATCACATTCAGGTTTAATATTTAGCAAGAAATAAATAAATGCTCATGATTTCATTATTGAAGTTACTCTGCTTCTACAAGCACAGAAAGTTTGTTCTGTAATAGTGCCAGATTTAGTTGTGTATATATTCCCCTGTGTTTTTCTGACTCTGCTGTTTTTATTCGTCCGTGCACTCCTTTCCTCCACCTCCCACAGGTAATAGCGCGTGAGGGCCAACCGGTGAGTTTTCTGTGTCGAGCTGAAGGAGAACCTGCACCTGCTATTGTCTGGATTTCCCCACAGCGCAGACGGATCACAGCCAAGAGTTCAGGGCGCATTACTGTTCTCCCTAGTGGCACCCTGGAGATCCGCTACGCCCAGCTTACTGACAGCGGAACATACATCTGCATTGCCAGTAACGCCGGAGGCAATGATACCTACTTCGCCACACTCACAGTGCGTGGCCAGCCGCTAGATGCCGCCTCAGCCTTCTTTCTCAACCGCTCACTGTACAGCGGCGAGTTCTTCAACGACACAAATCTGAACAGCACGCGCGTTTTCCTCAAGTTCACCTTGGACCTGACCACCATCTTGGTCTCCACGGCAATGGGTTGCATCACCTTCCTGGGGGTGGTCCTCTTCTGTTTCCTGCTGTTGTTCGTGTGGAGCCGGGGACGCGGCCAACGCAAGAACAACTTCACAGTGGAGTACTCCTTCCGGAAATCTGAACCCGCCACTGGCGGCTCCTCAGGAGGGACCAGGAAGTTCAACATGAAGATGATATGAAACAACGCAGCCAGGGGTCCCTCGGGGGAGGCATGAGCACGTCCCAAAAACGTGTTTGACACACGCAAACACACACAGCCACTGACTCGCAAAGAAGTGTGAAAGCACAATATAAGTTCCTGTCTATGGCTCCATTCAAAATTGAGCGCCCACATTAAAACTGGAGCCATGGCTTGATTTGATTTGATTTGATTTGTGAATGAAAACAAAACGACCCTGATCTCTCTGCCTCTCAGTGATTTTATTCAGCTTGTGGTGAAAAACCATGTGAATGACACGGTAAAGAACTACAGCATTGACAGATTTAAGAGCTACTTGTGGTCCATGCTTAACAAGAATAATCGATTCAAGAATTATAGGAGTTAAGTTTTTGAAATTGGCATGATTACTAAGCTGTGGGATGCTGGTAGCCCTGTCTCTCTGTTACATTACTGAGATAATGAAAAAAAAAAAAGATTTCCTCTTTCATTTAAATTTCCCTTTACTGTATTCTGTGCAGTCTGGGATTTTAAAAGAAATGTGATGCGGGGAGATCTGACTACCATCCATTTATAGCATCTGTAGCTATGCTCCTCTAAAGTCTGCCGTGTTAAGAATCATGTAGAAATGCAGCTGAGAGTTAAGTTGTTCAAACCTTCAAATAAAACAAATTGTTTTGAAAAACAGTTTGAATATGTTTTTCTATCGAGCATGTAACAGCCTCCTTAATCTAATCTGACCACGGCTGAACAGTGAGGAGGGTTCTTCATTAGCATTATCATACATCATTTGTTTTAATGAACAAAAGCTTAATGGATGTAAAATACAATCTGATAATAACACCTGATAAGAAGCAAAATGGATTTGGACAGAAGATTCGGCCTTTTTCTTCTTTGTGAGATTTTGCGACAACGTTAGCTGTGTGAGTTTGGGACGAGCACACTGGCCAAGAGCTGGCGTGGCTGCCCGTGGCCCGGAGGGTTTGGTTAGGAAGTCAAGCCCACCGGACACGGGCAGCCACAGTAACTATAGCAACCAACACAACAGAGAGCAACGGGGACGGGGCTGGTGGCCGCAGGAGGGTCGCTGGGTAGAAGAGGAGAGGGAAAAAAGAAGTCCCTACATCACAAGCTCCGTTCATGCTCTTTCATCCACAGGAGAGGCTCAACCTGCCGGCCCACCCTCTGTCCCTGCCCCTCTGCTGTGTTGGTGGACGCCTGACCTTCCCAGTGCTGCCAGGGGGGAGCAGCCCGGAGAGTTGGGTCATACTCAGAGGCAGACAGAGGACACGCTGTCGGGGTCTTCACATAAACACACATTCTAGTGCACATAGCAACACATGTACAGCACCTTTTCTCAGGAGAAGTGAAACAATTAGCCTCCAGAGTGAGTGTAAGCACACATACATGCTCTGTTAAAGATATAACATTCCAGCAATACTGTATGTAGAGCCATAAAGCCAAAATTCATTCTCTCAGAGAGAACTGATGTAAATGTTTGAGTGAAGAAACAAAGCCATAGTATGTGTAGGTTGTTTTCTTTTTATACAGTAATGTGTGCATGATTCAGTTATATAATAATAATTATTGCTACTGCCATCTTACAAGCTGGTGTGATGATCATAAGACCATCTGCTGTCGCTGGGCTTGCATAAAGTTGCACCCCGTAACACACACACACACACACAAACACACACATACATAGAAGTGGCAAAGCCTCATCAAGGTTTCTTAGATTGATAGCAACAACAATCACAGTTACACATGAATAAACATACAAACTGATGAAGCTCATGACGCCGACTGCTGTCTCTCTCTGTCTCTGAGACGGTCGGTGTGCGAATGTCTCTGCCCCCCTAGCCCAGTGCATCCCCCCCTCCTCAACCCTACCCCACCCACACACACACACCCCCACTGGGTCCTCCTTTGGGAGGGGTCCCTGGCTGGAGACCGAGGATTCAAAATGTAAATGAAGTCGTGTTAACCCTACCCACGCCATGTGCATCGTATAGTGGAGAGTAGTACTGTGGTTTGAAAAAAACAACAACAAAAAAATTTACAACAAAAAACTTTCTTTGAAGTGTTCTGTTGATTCTTGTTTGTCCTCCATTTTAATTTCCTCAGTTGTTGTTGTTCTCCGTGACCTTTTGGCTGTTTACCGTTTTAAAGTTCCCCGTCCTCTGTGAGGGGCTGTTCTGTTCTCAACACCCAAAAAAGTTCTCACGCAGCAGATAGTGCTCGTGGCATTTCACATCTCAGCGTGCACATCAGCCAGAACCAGGCAGAGCGATATTTCAATCAAGAAACAAAGCAGTGGTTCCTAAACTAGTGTCACATGTTCAACTGGGGATGTGCCAAGATGATAAATAAGATGAGAAAAAGAAAAAACAACATAGCTCTGCTGCACTAAATTATTCAATTATAGAATAGTTTTAGCTTCTCTGGAGTCGATGCACCAGCTCTTTGTAACGTAACCTAGTTAAAAGTGTTAAGTAGAGATTTACCAATCACTAGATTTAATTGCTGGCACCCAACGAACGATTTCTTACTTCGAGATTGCTTGAAACTTTAATATTTACACACGTAACAGCCAGGTGTAACTGTTGTATAGCTAACTGAATCATTTGACCTGTTGACAGTGAAGAGTTTAAGAGCTAACAGAGTATGGTCGACATATTTAACCTGACACTTGATCCAAATGCTGTTTGATTATAACTTAAACTGGGAGTTTTTTACCCAATATCCCTTAAATTCAGAGGTGTGAACTCACGACATATGACAAGTAAGAATAGAGTCACAAATTTGATGATTTTAGATTCAGCAAAATCAAAAAAACTTTAACTTTAACACAAATGAGTCGTTACTCCACTTGGACTTAGCCTTTTGACTTAAAATAACTTGATCCCTTCTCCCTAAGCCCAAAGATTAAACAATATGTTGTTTAGAAATGTGCTACAAATCATTTAATTTCCCTTAATTTCCGGAACCGACGATTAACAGTAACGCTATTCATTCCTAGCAAGTCGCCACTTTATTCCGCAGATCCACTTTGTTTAAACCAATCCAGCAACATCCAATCAAGTTGCAGCCACCACCCCCCACGCCCCCGGGTGTCCAAGAGTGGGCCAAAGCGAGACATTTAAAACCACTTGGGATTAGCAAGGTGGAGGCTGGGGTGGAGGAGGCAAAGCTTTGCCAGTAGCAGCAGCAGCAGCAGCAGCAGCAGTAGTGGTGTGTGGCAGCATTGGTGTAGCAGGGATCAGTGAGTAGGAGGCCATTTTTAAATGGACCACCTTGTGTAGGAATGGGCTGTGTGGGCTGATTACAGCTGGGACGTATGACTTCAGTGTCCTGCATGAACTAACTCAAAGCTTTATTTGCATAAAAGAATGATACCAAAGATAATTAAGTTTGCATACAAAAACTACGCAGTGGTCAACAAAAAATAAATTTCAGTGTGCAAAATGTGCAGGTTTAAAATTAGAGGTGAAGATGACTTCCAACAAACCTGTTTTAATACATAAATACAAAATTTGAAATGCATTCATAATTTTTGTAATTTTAACATATTTTTACCCTGTTGTTAAAATGGTTGTTAATCAGTTATTTCTGATTATTTTATATGGCCAACTCTTGAACACATTTACGGAGCGACGACTGCAAGCTCGTTTAGACAGTCATATGTCATCTACAAAACACACCCTCCCAATTTGGCGGTCTATTTAAGCTGTTAAATTTTCCCAGTGCTCCCTTTGCATGGTCTATGCTGCTCTTTTAGCCCCACCTCCACCCCAGCATCCACCTGCAGTCTCCGGCTAGGGGGGGTATTTAATAATCACTCCCCAGTATCTCATGTAAACATATCTGTGGGGAGCAATGAGACTGGAGTTTAGACGCCAAACTCTATGTTCTGCTGTTGAAATAAACATACAAACACGAGTTGTCTGTTCTGAACCATGTGTGCAGAAATGTAACAAACTCAACCTACATTTACAGATGACCAACAATTTAATATAGTGTTTGCCACTTTAGTTAATAACATCTAAAGCTTAGTGACAGATTTATACACAGCTGGTGCTTTTCAATTCATTGACATGTGCAATATATCATGAGGAGCACACATTGCGTCATTTTAGGGGTCATGCTGTAGAAAGTAGGGACCCACTGGTGTGAAGCACCTCGACATTGTATAAAGACAAGTTTACGGTTTGGAAATAATTTGCCCCAGGTAACAGAGAACCTCAAACTCTCCAAACTTTTGCAAAATAAATCCTGCAAACTCCATTTTTGTCCCCAGTGAGGGATGATGAAACCACAGCTTCTGTGTCAGGATGAATAACTCAGCAGCTGTTAAAGATTCATGAGGCCGAATGAGAATAGATGAACAAATTGGCCTGTTTTTTTTTTTTTTTTTTTTCTCCATTCCCTTTAACAGTGTCAGCGGCCATTTCTGTGTTGAGAACAGGATGTCGCCCTCATGGATGTCTCCTCTCCCTGAGCTGACCCTTTTGTGTTTCCATTCCCCGGTATTTCTCAGTGGAAACTAGGTTTTAGAAGACAGTGAGAATGTCTGTAGTGATTGTCGATGGTGTTATTGTGCAAACATCAATCACAAATGTAAGCGTAGATGAGGGTGTGTTTTCGTTTTATCTTCTTCTTCTCCTTCTCCCCCTCTTTGCGGTCCTCCTCCCCTCTTCCCGTTCCCTGTCTTCTTAACATTTCCACCCCTCGTTGTCCCTGTTCACAGTATTAGGCTGGATTATGGTTGTGTGGTAGTAGACACGTGTCCTGTGTGGTCGGTGTTGTCGTGTTATGATTTGTTGCTCCTCGTGATGCCATCCAACACGGAGCAGTGACTGGATCAGTGGAGACAAAAGATGAAAGGGGTGACCCAGGTTCCCTAAAAAAAAGAAAAAAAACATTGGTTCCCATTTCACGCCCTACTCATTCCCGAAAAACCACTTCTGGAACTTTCCCCGCTCTGCTCAGTGCCGCTCTGGGATCTTTCTCTGGCTATGAAACCCCACAGACTGTACTGTATGTATTTTCTCTGATGATATCTTGTCACACTTTAACTTACAAATGTAGAAAGGGGGGTTGGGTTGTTTTAATACCGTGACTTTGAGCCTACACTCACTTTCTGCCTACTGTGGAGTCATTTTGTCAAGGAAGCAGCTCATTCACTGAAAACAGACATTTTTCATGTTGGTCAGGGTTGAAAATAAGCGCCTGTGTCTCTTCAAGCCCCACGAGTCCTTGAATGCCTTCCTGTCCCCTCCAGCTTCAATTTCCTGCCAGAGATCCATTATCAAAGGCTTTAGAAATACGTTAAAAATTTTAATTGATGGAGACTTTGCCAAACAATTGTTAAGCAGCTCTCTCGTTTTATTTAAAGGTGCCAGTACACACGGCTTTGCAGCCAAGCCATTGCCTCAGTCTGGCTGTCAGACTCTGTGTGTTTGTAGATACCAGTGGAGCTTGAGCTTGATTCATCTCCTCTGCCGTGATACTTGAGAAAGTAGGCTGAGTGATCCCCGCGCTCCCTCCTCCGGTTCGCCCTTGCCTGGGGTTGGTGTACTGTAGTCTAGACGCCCCATTTACAACAGCAGCAGCAGCAACTGCAGCAACAACCGTTCCTTCCGCTGGGGACCTCTTCAAAGACGCACACCAAAATAAGACAAACCCTTTGGCACCAATGATCATGGCGTCATTACCAGCCAAGCCAGAATTATTCCTTTTTTATTATTATCATAATTTCCTAATGTTTCAGTTGTATTTCTCAATTGAAGGACCAGCCCTCTTTGCTGTTGTCTCACTATTTGGCCAAGACGACTGCATTTCTATGTGCATTTTCTTGGTTTCATGTCATTTCTGACTCCATATTAGCTCTAAATGAATCCATCTCCTACTCCAGATCCTACAGCTGCTGTTGCGATTGGATTAGACTTGAGTTGAATTATCAGAGCTGAGAGGAGCAGTAATGGGATGACGGAGAAGTGAGCTTGGCTGATTGGGTGATTACTTGGCTTATTAGTCCCATTTCCATAACAGACCTCGCAGAACAGTGTCTCACGCCAAGACTGGAGGCTGAATTCATGGTGTCATTTTACCTTTTATTTGATAGAGATATTACATATGATAGTTTTAATTGGAGATGGTGATGTACTAAAGCAGTCGCTGTTAACTGACATTCAGGTATAATGTGGCAGAGCATTGCTGAAGGATTGTTTAAAGCACCTTGAACAGACAAATGCTTCATCTTAACCTTGACCAGACAAATTCCACTGCCCCCCTTTCTATGTGGCAATACTGATCCCAAGTGGTCAATGTGAGTAACAGCAACAAATGGGACCATACTGCCGATGCTGATGTATCAGTGTTATTATGTGGTGGGGAAGGTAAAACAACAGCTCTGGGTCTCATACAGTGAAACACTAAAGAGAGCAAATTGACTGTTAGCTTCATAAGTCAGTGCTTTACTGATTTTTTTCTTATAGCCATAGCGTGACCTCCTCTCCGCTGTGGGTGTCTGGGGGCGATGTTTGCCCTCAGCCACCTGTGAGGGAGTAATAAGGAGAGGCCTCCATCTGATCAAAAGCAGCAGTTCTGACCTGGTTTGCCTGGACTCAGTCTGTAGATTGAATAAATACTTTCTGACGCCCCCTCCGCCAGTCTCACGACAAACAATAACAAACCATGATAAAACGTAACAGCATTGTTCTTTCTCTGTATTTGACTGAGAGCTGATCGGCAAAACGGTCGGTTCCTCACAATAGAGAAAACAAAACTTTCTTTCTTGTGGTCTTAGCAGGTTTAATCTATGCATGCCTTTTGTATACAGTGATTGGTCTTGCCAAACTCTCACCTACACTTGTACGGAGAGCTATGGGTGCCATTGTTGCTGGCCATGGGACTGGTTGAAACAGACTTCCTGTAAGAGCAGGTGGGACCATTAAAGGGGACCTATTATGCTAATTTTCAGGTTCATACTTGTATTTAAGGTTACTGCTAGAACATGTTTACATATTTAAATCTTAAAAAAAAAACACTTCCTCACTGTCTGTGATGGATCACCTGTTTTCACACTGAAATGCTCCGTTTGTTTCTTTAAGCCCACCTCCCAAAAAAGGCCATTCTGTTCTGACTCGTCAACGTTTCCTGACCGTATTTTGACATCTTTGCACTGTCACTGCAGCCGGAGAATGACTAAGGATAGTGGCACTTTTTTACCATGACCGGGGAGAATATTAAAAACGCTAGCAACCCAGATTAGGCTAAATGTTTCCCTGATGTTAGCATGTAGCTACATGTACAAGGAATGACTGTAATGGAAAATAGAAACACTGTTATTGTCAAAATCTCAGAAAAAAGCTTTTAAACACAATCAGACATGTTTTGCTGAGAATATGGTCCGAAATCAGGGAGAGTTTCACAACATAAGCACACAAAGTTACACATTTCCTTGACAATAGCATGTAGCTACATGTACCATTGTACTTGCAGCCGAGGAAGGACTGTAATGGAAAAATAGCGATGCGCTTTACTGTAAAAATCACAGAAAAAAAGCTTTTAAACATTATCAGACATGTTTTGATGGGAATATGATCTGAAATCAGGGAGAAATTTCTATCATTGGCAACCAAGTTTACATGTTTCCCTGATATTAGCATGTTGCTACATGTAGCATTGTACTTGCAGCAGGGGAATGACTGTATCAGAGCATAGTGGCACTATCTACCATGAAAAATCAACAAGAAAAGCTTCTAAACACAACTGGACATTCCATGGGAAATATGATCCAAAAACTGGGGAGAAATTTACAACATTAGCAACTGAGTTTACATGTTTCCCAGATGTTAGTATGTACCTACATGTTTTTAGCGGTGAATTTGCAGGAGAGCAATGACTGTGATGGAGAATAGCAACAATTTTTACTTTGAAATATCACCAATAAAAGCTTCTAAGCACAACCAGACATGTTCCAGCAGGAATATGATCCAAAATCACGGTGAAATTTATATCATTGGCAACCAAGTTTACATGTTTCCCTGATGTTAGCATGTAGCTACACACATTGATTTGCAGCCAGTGAATGACTGTTACAGAGAATAGCAGCACTTTCTAACATGAAAAATCAACAATAAAAGTTCCAAACACAACCGGACATGTTCCATGAGGAAGATGACCCAAAAATTTACAACTTGGCAACCTAGTTTACATGTCTCCCTGACATTAGCATGTAGCCACATGTTTGTTTGTAGTATACTTGCAGCCGAGGAAGGACTGTAACAGAAATTGTTGTCAATTTTTAACATGAACAATCACCAGTAAAAGCTTCTTAACAAAACCAGAAATGTTCCAGCAGGAATATGATCCAAAAATTGGCGAGAAAAACATTGGCATCCAAGTTAACACGGTTCCTTGACATTAGCACGCAGCCATGTGTTTGTTAGTAGTGTACTTGCAGCCTAAGAAGGAGTGTAATGGAAAATATTTTAACGTGAAAGATCACCAATTAAGGCTTCTGAGCACAACCAGACATGTTCCAGCAGGAATTTGAACCAAAATCAGGGGAAAATTAGCAACCTTGGCAACTAAGTTTACATGTTTCCCTGATGTTAGCATGTGGCTACATGTAGCAGTGTAGGCTACATAATGTAAACACTGGCAGTAGTTCACCCGGAGGAGATGAAAAAGAAATCGGTCACCAAAAAAAAACGTTCGTATGGTAGATGGTAGAAAACTTTCTTTGCTAATGGGGATTACTTCTACATACATTTACCTCATCATTTGAAATTTTGGCCACATGTGATTTAAACATCCTTCATTGTAACACCATAAGACACAAAGTACAGAGAAGCATAATAGGTCCCCTTTAAAGTGTTTTTAACGTGGTACAAATTGAAGCCAGGGGCGAGTAATCACCTGCACCTGCATTCACGAATATTCAAAGAAGCGTGCATCTTACAAAAGAAGCATTTGTTTACTTGGGATGATTGTACTTTTACACATATCTATCCACACACAGAGGATGTGTAAGCTGTAGATAAAACGATTGATATTCCAAGCAGGATGGTGGGACTGATCAATGCTGTATGGGGATAGGATTATTAATGGCATACTTTCATTGATCTATCTTGAACCTTGCCACTCTCCCAGAATCCCTCTGGAGCAGGAGGAGGCGTACAGAGCTCTTACAGACCTGGTTGGCACTCATTCCTAGGTTTCCATTTTAAGATGATTTTCCTCTTTTAAGAACGAGATGGTGCCAGATTTCGACTATTTTTTCTCTCCCAGGTCTGAGCTGATGTAACGCTCTCTTACGTCTCCTGCTCTTCAGAGGAAGCTGTCATTACGGTATAGCTCTGTATTTGTTGGAGCCCTCTAATGGAAGATATAGTTTATTTCTCAAATTTGGCTGGGGTAAACGTATTCCCTCTTCTCTCACTGTCTTTCTCTCTCCTTCCTCTCTCTATCTTCTCTCTCTCTTACTGTCTCTATCAACTTGGCACCGACCTCGTTAAACATTTCAGAACATTTTTCATCGATCACTCTTAGTTTTTGCACTAATGCACATTTGTTCCCTGTTGACACGGTCGTTACCGACTCCTGAAACCTAGGAATGGGTGCTGAGCGCTCCAATTAAATGCAGAGCTATCATAAAGACAAGTTGTTCGGCTTGTCAGATTGAATAATGTCCTCTAATCAATCATTAAAGCATATGACTGGCTCATAATAGAGTCTGTTATACAGTAAGCATCAAATTTGGACTCTCATCCTCACTGGCTGCAGGAACATCGGACTGTACCTGAATTATAACATTTAAATCTGTGTGGATCCTTGGATGTGAAGAACAGAACCTGTACATATTAGATCTATTAGCCATATCATGTCATCAAATCTGTAGACCTCCTTGCCATGTCTGACAGAGGAAAATGACTGTTGAACTGTAAATAGTGTAGGTATAGTAATATAGGATTTAACTGCTGCTTCTTTTCTCCAGGGATCACCCATGTTTTGCTCAGTCCCATGGCTGCTTGGTCTCAAAGGGAAGGATGAGACAATAATGTACTTGTCTATAAAACACATATGAGTTCTTTTTTATTTCAATGTATGTTTTATATACTGTCTGTCTTGTAAATGAACTCCTTTTTCGTCATAAAAGCATGATGTGACTCTGTCAGAAGTGTCCCGTGTGTCTCTTCTCGTTACCTGCCTGTGTCGCCAGTGGCTCAAAACAATGAAACACTCACACACACGCTACACCACACAGCCAATATGATTGTCTAACATTTTTTTCAAAAACGGGGTATTAATATATTGTTTTAACAGCCTTCAATTCTCCGTAAGGTTCTTCCACAAGATTCTAGAGCCCGGTCGTAAGTCGTTGAAATCCAGCTCTTGGGCGGTGACTTAAGGTGTCAGAAACCAACCAAAGAAGACGTCCTTTAACGTCAGCATGATACACAGCCGCTTGCCATTATAGTTTAACTATGCCTGGCAGTGTCAGGGGAAATGCAGCAGAGCAAAGACGAAGGTTAAGGTGGCAAAAGTCCAACTGGGGCGGGAGGGAGGGGTAGTGGATTGGTCCAACAAACACCGACTTTCACTCGAGAGAGTGATGTTCGCATCCCGTAAGATTCTAAAGCCAAACCCTGTTCTTTCTTACTAAACCCAACCACTTCCTTTTGTTGCCTAAACCCAACCACGTGTTTTTGTTGTGTAAACCCAACCATGTGTTTTTGTTGCGTAAACCCAACCATGTGTGTTCGTTGCAGGCAAAAAAAAACATCAATTTGCGGTGTTGTAGTGCTTTTATTTTGAAAGTGACTGTATGTAAACGTTAAACTTCATGTGTGTATTTGTGTATTTTGAAAGAAGACAATGCTATAACAGGCAGAACTTGACACGGTGTCCCAGAACGTCAACAACCAACACACCCAGGGTACCTTTCATGTCATATCTAGACGTGGAAAGTCCATGACCAAATGTCGACATGTGGCGAAGTCGGAGTGAGAATGTGTTGGATTTTAGAACCCGGCTGCTCCCATTGAGTTACATCAGTGGTCCCCAGTCTGAAGGGACCCCTTTTCTATTATTTAGTAGACTGAGGACCCTGTGTAAGTGACAGATATTTCATATTATATCGATGCATAACAATACCAATACAGAACAGCCTAAACGCTACATTTAACCCAAATAGTGAACACAGTAACTGCAGGAAGTTTGTGTAAAAAGAGCAAGAGAAGAGATGAGTTTTCCTGATATTTTTAGTAACGTTTTGCACTATTCGGTCTCGGTATTATTTTTTTAAATGTTATTTTAAACAATCATTTTTGATAAATTCATTTTTTTCTTTTCCCTGACACTTGGCCATTGTCCTGTTAGCTATTTGGTTGTTTTAACTGCACACTTTTCTAACACAGGATGAGGTTATTTAGCAGCGAGTGAAGGCTCTGCGTTCAGGTCTTCACTGTGTCCTTATCCTGTGAGATTTTTTAAAAGTTTATATTTTAAATAATAATCTAAACTTAACTTAAAAGTAACAGTTTCATTTAGTTCTCAATTGCAGAAATGAATGAAATGCTGAGATATACTGTATATTTGAAAAGAAAATGTATCTTTCACTGCTTAAAGTCAAGAAAGCCTTTCGACCCCCCCAAAGGGTTGGTGAGCCCAAGTGCAGATTGGGACCCCCAGATAGGAAACCAGTGAGATACAAGACCATCAGTGAGGTCAGGCATTTGGTGCAAGTATGAGGCCCAATCAGTTTTAAATAAATGAGAAATTATGATGTGAATAGATATGATTAAACACACACACAATACTTAAAGCTGATGTTCAATTTGAAGTTGGTGGAGACCAAAAAAAGAGGTAAAAGAGAGTAAATGTTTGGCTTATGTTCACCGGTAAAACAAAAACACAACTCTGCACGAATAATAATGTTGCATCATAACTGCTGGATGTGTATTTGTTAGCTATTAAGTTTGCCATATCTCCATAAAATTGGTTTAATATCACCATTAAAGATCGTTATTGTATTATTTTATCCTGCTCCTTTCACAGAAACAGAATTCAATAGGCCTCTTTATTTAAATCCACCACGTTTTATTTCAAATAAGTCATCTTTGTGAAGACTGATTTATTTCAAAATGCCAATCATCATCACAAAGTCTTTGTCTGTTAAAAGAAACAGGCCGGAGCCAATAATGTTGATTGGCTGTTGCTTCAGACTTAATGAATGGACAGCCAATCACATAACTGGCTCTGCCTCGTTTGTCTTGATTGACAAAGGCTGGATCTGGGCTGATTTTGAATATGTAACGTGTTCACTCTAGAAACATGACAAGATAAATCTAAAAGCAGACTATTGAATACAGTCTGTACTGTTGCTGTATTTACACAAGGAGATGGAGGAGAAGCTCACAGCTGGAGAACAATTGAATAAATTGGGTGGAGGTGAAACAGCTCCAACATATCTGGGAAAACAAAAGAGTAAGTAATAACTCTTATACACTTACACTGTGGATTAAGAATACACCGATGTTTTATAGGCAGACTCAAATATCTTCACACTCAATGTATCATTAAATTGACAAATACAGAATTTAATATCCTCTTACAAGAATCTCTTTGCTGGCAGCATTGAGAAAACTTTGAAATGATCTTTCAGTGAAAATAGTAAAGGAATACTTCACCCCACAGATGATGATTTTTATAGTCGTAACCTGTTGCATTGAATTCATGAAGAAAACTTCTTGCATCCCTACATTGAACGATGAATCCAAAAACAAAGAAAATTCTTGATGAATTGGAGTAAGAAGCGTCCACGTTTAACAACAGCAAAACTAGATAATCCAGGTCTTATTTATCCAGTCGTATGCTCAGTACTTCCCAAACACATGCATATTTACTTAAACCTTATACTATTTAAAACACTTCTGCATAAACAGTGCAGGTGCTACTCGTCTGTGTGTGAGAGTTATGCAGAAGTGTTTTAACTAGGAACTTTTTAGTGAAAAGTCATGGGTTTTCAGATGTACTGAGCATATGCCTGGATGATTTGTGTAAGTTTGTGAGCAGATCTTCTGATACTTTTACTCGAATATGCCTAGAATGCTTTTGGATTCTTCGTTCACTGTGGAGGTGTGCAAGAAAAACATAGCATAACACAGCTTGAGTAACTGACATACAAATGATCATTTGGGAGTGAAATATTCGTTTCAGCTAAAGAATTAAGAATGCACTGGGTATTTCATAAGCAGATTCTAATATTTTTATACTCTGTATTTGCATTTTATTATTTTTAGGTCAACAAAAGGTCAAAGGTCAAAAAACTTACAGGATTTAGTATTTCCTCCTTGAAATTTCTGTCCTGGCAGTGTGGAGAAGACTTTGAAACAAGCTTTCTGAAATCAAATTAAAGCCCCTGAATTTTTTTCTATAACATGAATACATAATGACTAAAGAAGCAGCAATAATCAAAGGTGAAGCTCAGGTTTTCTGAGGGTGGGGTACGATGCATTTAGGGGACCTCAGTGTTTCTAAAATCCTAGCTATGGCTTTGATGCTGTATCTCAGTGGTTCCCAACCAGTCCAGCCATTGGAAATTAAGTGTGTTTTTACAAATATGACATGTTTGCAAGTCACTTGCAGCCCATTAACAACAAACCCATGATACACTTTTGGACCACGACCCACCAGTTGGGACCCACTGCTGTAGATTTCCTGCAATCTGGATGGAGAAACAGCCCCATACCAGCAGTACAGGGTGCACATACTTCCTATTTGACACCAGCAGATGGCAACAGAGCACCAGTAAGAAACCATCACACAGAAAATGAAGTCAGTCAGCCAATTGCTTGTTTCTTTATTTGTTTTAGTCAAAACACACAATTTAACCATACTGGTTTTCACTTGGTGTATTATTTGTTCCAGTTATTATTACTTGAGTCTCCCTCCACAGGCTGAAGGCAGACCAACGTGACTGACAGACTCACTGTGTCACTGGGAGATGAAGATCAGAAGAACGGCTCTCTGGTTGACCAACGTGTGTGTGTGTGTGTGTGTGTGTGCAGGCGTTTGATCAACATCTTCGATTAGATGTCCACTTAACAAGTCAGACCCCCACCTCCTCCATCGTGGACGGGGGAGGGTCCTGGGTGTCTCAGCCCCAACCGTAAAGGTCACTCTACAGAGGTTAAAGGTGACCACACACACACACACACACACACACACACACACACACACACTGATTTCTCTGAGAGCCATCTTTCCTCCTCTCCTCCCATTTCTCCTGTCCAGTCATTTTCTCTGCCCTCCTCCATCGCTCTCTTTCTCTCTCCCTCCTTCTTCTTTTTTTTTTTTGTCTCTGCTCTATTTGAAATTGATTGTCTTCTACCATCACAAAGACACTTGGTTCTGATTGATTGATTGGTAAGGGAAGAGGGAGAGAACATCGACACTGGGGCTTCCAGAGCTCAGAGGAAAAAAGCAAATGACGCCATTTTGATGCACTGGAAGAAACCTGTATTTCAGCTGCCTGGCTGTCTGTTTGTTTATGCTTCTCCCAAAGCAGACAAACACCCAGGCCGATCGAATTTAGATTAAATACGGATGAGCTGAAATACGGGAACGAAACAAGAGAAACTCACACACACACTCACACCTGTGTGATGTGATGAAACAAAGGGTAGATACAAATACAGACATGGAGGTGTGGAGACTATTCCCACACAAAGGGACGGGTTACAACAGGAGGAAAGACACAAAGCGATGAAGCTGGTACACATACAAATACACAGATTTTATACAAACAGCACATAAAAGACACAGAGCTAAAAACAATGTCCTCAGAAACCAAAACCCAGTTGTTGTTTCCCTGTTTCTCCCCCTCTCCTCCACCTGTAGAGGTACAGTTCATCCTGCAGTTTATATACACTTATATAATATCCATGCATAAAAGAATCGCTCGTCCCAACCCTAATGACAGAGGTGCTTTGGTTGGTTCTCTTTTTTTTAATATGGGAATCACTTTAACACACATAGGAGACAATCTTCAAACACAAAATTATCCAAACAGAAATTAATGCGTCCTTGATGTGTCATTTTCACCTTGGTCTTAAACATTTTTTTCAACTACGTCTTGTATCCGTTATCTTGTTTTCTTCCTCCCCCACTGCT